ATGAAAAGTGGGCACAGTGGATATAGTTTTAAAACGATTGAGAAAATATAATTTATTCAATCAATATTTTTTAAAAGAAATTATAATTGACCAACAAAAAATAGGCTAAGTAGATATTAATTTCAAATTAAACTTTTTGATGATTAGCTTTTAATAATACCCGTTTCTCAAGCAATTTATCATTCAACAATTTCATTCTGGGTGCATCCAACAAATTAGAGAAGGAAAATAGGCGTTCAACTGGCCGCCATTTGGGCAGCGGAGTGTTATATTTTATAAAAACAATTTATAATATTACAACAGGGTTGTATTCGGGAATATCTAAATTTTGACTTCGGCTTTGTAGAAATCTTAGGGTTTTAATTTAAACAGAGCAAGAATGGTATTTGTATATAATGAGGTGTTTGAATTATTTACCTCCTTAATGTTTAGTCATCTGCCGGCTGACTAAGTTTATCAATAACTAATATATATCACAATTTCTCTTCTCCCATTATATTAAGTGATTATTTATTCGTTAGCATAAAGTATGAAGTTTTATTTATAATTGGTGGTAATTTTACTAAAAACAAATTAGTTTGTTAGTTTTATCACATTAACGATTTTTTTTTAAATCCCTTGAGCATTTCATTGTAATTTTCAACTTCATTGTAATAAAAAATTAACATGTATTTCTTTTGATTAATTAGAACATTTCTTCCTTGTTCTTTAGGTTGAAATTCTCTCAAAATCATATAAATAAAAATACATTTGTTTTTCGCTACAAAATATCTTTCGATAATATCCTCATTCATCCTTCCGATGAAAAAATCCTCTAACTTTTCACACTTTCTAAATATCTATCAGTTTTATTGCTAAAGATAATTGTATTAAAAGTTTAGCACCATTGACCTTAAAAAAAACTTCAAGCTCAATTTGGGGTTTTAGCCATGGGTGGGTTTTAGTACGAACGATTGGGGATGATCAATGGAAATTCCTTGGAAGTTCCTCCCGGCTAAGTCCGATAGACTCGCTTACTAACAATGAGAGGGATCCTCCAGACTTGCTGGAGGCAGGGGCCCATCAGACTTCTTGGAGGGTGCTACGTAGGATTGAACGCCCTATCACATATCTTTAGTTCACCATACACCACAGTCATGGATCTCCCTAAGGTAAAACGCTCATTATCCGTAGGTAAACTAGTCCCCCGTTCGGGTCTCCGGGTGGGGACTGCTTTAGGGGATTCATGGCGCAAGTTGAAAAATGGGAATTTGAATTTTGGTACGTGGAACGTAAGGAGTTTAAACTCAGCAGGAGGGTAAAAATCGGTCGCGAATGAGGTTTGTGGGTACAATTTGGATGTCGTGGCTCTGCAAGAGGTTTGCTGGCCAGGAGAGGGCTCGATGAGGGAAGGAAAGTATACTATTTGGTTCGGAGAAAGCTTGAATCATTGTTTAGGTATCGGGTTTCTAATTAGGAATAGATTTCTATCCGCTTTGAGGGATGTACAATTCTTTAGTGATAGAATTTCGGTAGCGATATTTCAGTTACTTTGTTTTAAAATCGCGTTCATAAACATACATTTTCCGACCGAAGACAATGAAGATGAAGTCAAATGCGAATTTTACGATAAACTTGAATGGGTTTATGATAAACTACCGCGAAACTACATGAAAATAATTGTAGGTGACGTAAACGCAAAGGTGGGGAGGGAAGAAGTTTATGTCCCGACGATTGGTAAAGAAAGTTTGCACAAATATAGTAATGATAATGGGATCCGTCTGATAATCTCGAAAAACCGGATAATTTAAGTACTACTCTTAAACATAAGGATATTCATAAATACACCTGGACATCACCGGATTCGCAAACACGAAATCAAATCGATCATGTCTTGATACAACATTACTGGCAAAGCAGTATAATTAATGTCCGGTCGTATCGAGGAGCAGAATGTGGGTCGGATCATGAATTAGTAATCGCAAAACTTCGACAAAAACTTAATATAAAAAAGAGAAAAGAAAACCGTTTCGATTTTGAGAATTTTAATTTGGAAAAATTAAAAAATCCATCAATTAGAACTCAATTCGAACTAGATGTTAAGAATAGGTTTGAAGCTTTAGAACCTTCTGACGAGGACCGCGAGGATATTGACAAGTTATGGGTAGAGATCAGGGATAATATTAAAGCGGTCGGTAACTCATGTCTAGGAAAAATGAAAATAAGAATAACAAACCGTGGTTTGATGAAGATTGCTTAAACATGTGCGAAAAAGAAAAGCGCTAAATTAAAAGCTCTAATAATCCTAGCGAAGACAATCTGGAATACTTCCGAACCTCAAAGAATGAAACGACAAAATTGCTCAAAAATAAAAAAAGGGAGTATCTTAAAAATAAAATAATTGAAATAGAAACTAATAGAATTGAAAATAACGTAAGAGACATGTACAAAGGTATAAACAGATCACGTAAATGTTTACAGCCCGTCACATCTGGATTTAGGGATGAAAATAACAATATTTTGACCGATTCGATAGACATATTAAATAAGTTTAAGAGCCACTTTGACAGTATTTTAAATACGGGAAATTATAATCTGTGTCCTTCTGAGTACCAGAGTGTGGAATAAACATGTAATAGTAGATCTCTATAGCTATCAAAACTTTATATAAACAATAGTCCTATTTTTGGCAGAATAGTAGGTAATTTAAGTTTTGTTTTTTAAGTAAGTCATGGATTTTGATGAATAGGAAGCAGTTACTAAAACATTAGCTAATATAATTAATTAATAATTGCTTCACTGTAAACTAGTAAAAATTTAATTCCAACGAAAGTAGAGTTTTTGGTTGTTAAAATCATTTAAAGAGGACTTAATCATTGAACGAATGAACTAAGCTATGTTGTGATATAATAAAAAAACATGAATTATTCCCGGTTTTAACTTTTAACCATACAACTATACTATAGACATCCCACTTATAGAAAAACTGTCTCGTTTAATAAGATTTAAGTCCATATGAAATAATTTGTGGTTTATTACGAAATAAGTCGAGGTTCACCTCAAGTTGTGTAAAAAAATGAGGTGTTTTGATATCATGTTACCTTAAAGTACCTATGTGTTTAAGAAAATTGACTAAAGTAAATTTTTGCAAAGCTTTAATTTATTTTTTCCCGTTACCTGGAATGTGTTATCATAAACTTAAATTAATAAACACAACTTTTACTTATTACTATAAAAATGTTTAAAATTTTGATTTTCGAATATTTGTCATTTGATAATAAAACTTTAAAATAAAACAAAAAAATAAATTGTAGTTTTTTATTAAGGTCTCTATTATAGAAATTGAGCCGTATTTATAAGTGACCAATTAAACGTTACCAATCCTAAATATACAAAATCTACGTGTAAAATAAAGAAGCTTGCTGATTATTTGAATTATTTTCGCGTAAGTCAAATTTTCAGCGGAGAACTAGTCGGACTGTGAAAAAAGTTGTATTTTTATTTGAGGTTGTACACAATACTAAGAAATAAAAAACATTTTTTTACTTTTCCACAGCATTCGTTTTTAACTGAAAAAGTAAAAAAAAAAAGAAACTAGAAATGTACCAATAGCCGATATGGCTAGTAACTTTGTACATCGTTAGTTGCATTGAATGGGAGTAGAAGGTTTCTTTTTATTATTTTGTATAGGATATTACTGAGATGCAAAATCAAAGTTTTCCACCTAGGCACTCCACCTATAAAGTAGATTGGCCTTTCCAGGAGATCTCATTGAACTTAGCTGTAAAACAAAAACTGTGAATTTGATTATTTGCAACTGCTTTTGGATGTGCAAAACCAGTGCACACCAAATTCATAGCCTGAAAGTGAAGAAAATAAAAATGATAGTGATTTTGCTTAACGTCAAATGTTATACAGGGTGTCCGGTAAGTAGAGGGAAATATTTAAAAGGTTGGTAGTAGAGATCAAGATCTACAAAAAAGTTCATGTAAACAATTGCCCAATTTTCAGCAGAAAATTAAGAAATTTAAGATTTCTGTGATTCGCCTCAAGTTGTGTAAAGAAATTATGTAATTTTCTATTCAGTCACCTAAAAGTAGCCGTGTTTCCAGCAAAAACGACTACATTAACTGTTGCAGAGCTTTTATTCCTTGTTTTTCCGTCATATGGGATGTATTGTAATAAACATAATTGCCTAAAAATACTATATTGACAAATATAAAAAAAATAAAGTTATGATTTTTTAAATATTTTTCATGTCAGGTGGTTATGAAATTGTGTTTTTGTCCCAAATTCCTGTCATAGAAGTTTATGTATATTTATAAGTGACAAACTTAATGTTTCTATCACTAATATTTACGTTTTCATGAAAATAATTTAGACAATCAGAAGGTTTCTTTATTTTAAACCTAAATTTTAGTAAAAAAAAATTAAGTTTGTCATTGATAAATGGTAGTTGGGATCAACCAGTCAACATGCCCTAACTCCTCATGTTAAGTTATGTATAAAATTGATATTATATTCTATCTTCTTTAACTTTGCAACAGCATTAATTTCGATAAAATGCATAGTTTCCGACTCATGTCCAAATAAAGTTCTAGGATTTCGCTGTTTTTTTTTGCATTTATCTCGGAACGCAATATAAAATTTCATTCGGGAACAACAAAATCAGATTCAGCATCCAAAAAAAAAATTATAAACCGAAGAGAAACCGACTATTTGAGTTTTTCCCCACCCAACTACCATTGGACTGAACTAATTTGATGATTTTGACGTCGTCAACCTTTAGTGCGCTCTAGCGGCCAACTAAAAAGATAGCGAGAAGGTTTTATTTTGCAGAAAATTTTATCAGGTTTATTTTTGATACAAGTGATTTTTCTCTAGGATTCGTCATTTTGGAGTTATGGTTAGATAGAAAACAACTTTATTCTGCGACAAAGTCCCTTGAGAGTAACAAAATAGAACAAAATTAAAATATTACATCAGGCCTAAATAAAATGATAGGCGAAAAACTGAAACTACTTCCGAAAGTTGATAGTATTTTGTCATTTTTAGGGTGAATCCATATCCAAATCAAGTAGATAACTCGATTTTCAGATTCAGCTTCCCAAAAACATATAGAGCCCTCCAAAAAAATTCTTCAGCGCAATTTTTCTCCTATCGACAATTATCCGTCGCCAAATGACTTGACTGATAACCATTGACCAATTGATAGAATATTTTATATATACATTTATGTGTGTGTATGTATTTAATTTAATTTAATTAAAAAATGCAACACCATTCTCTGAGATATTTCCTTTCAATTTATTTAATTGAGATAGCAAAGTGACAAGCAAGCGATCTGAAGATGGTCCTGAGCAACAACGCTTCCGATAGCGGAACCAGCTACCGGAATGATGTAGTTGGCAGTGGAGGAGGCGGCGGTGACTAAGCGTTGGCTGGTGGGGGCCACCAATGAATTGCTCTCGTCCTCACAGCTTCCCTCAGTCAGCTCCTTGCGCTCAACACCAACGGTAAGTGAGATATCTCTTGTCTCAAATCACCTAACGCTTTACCAACCAACAAACCGTACAGAAAACTCCTTATACGATATCCATTCTCCGAGGAATCCAAGGTGAGGTAGGTTCGCTTATCTATCATAGGTACTAGAAACAGCCCAGCGAGATAAGAGATTCCGTTAAATCAGTGAAAAGTCAACAGTGTTTCCAATTTTTAAGTGAATGCTTTTACGTCAGTTATTTTTTAATGCTGGATCAGAGATATGGATTATTGCCTCGATCACATCTTGGTTAAAAATTAGATTAAGAAATCATATCAAAGACAAAGAGCGGAGACAAGGATAATCATATCATATCAAAGACGGACATCTGTCATTTTTAAAAAGTTTAGAAAATCCAATTTTTGTAACATCGCTTCGATTAAAACCAATTCTAATATTTTTTTTCACGATTCAACTTGAACATTTTTAAATAAAATCATCAAAAACAATATAAGTTGAACCTACATTACAAAGATTGACTTCTTCTCTACGTTCTGAAAACGAAAGATTTCCTCCTTTGGTATGAGAGCAGTGGTATAGTAGAAGGCTGTTGTACTCTTTGTTAGATAATTCTCCATTATGAATAAAGGCAATAATAATTACAACTGCTAAATTTTTCTTGGTTTGCATTAATAATTCATTGTGTCAAGTTCTCAATTTTAAACTTCCTTTATTGGTTCGTTATAATACTCTCCTGTTAACGTTTTGGGACATTATTTCTCCATCATTGGAGCTTTTTGGAGCATGATAAGAATATTTCATGAATAATTAAATAATGAATAAGAATAATTCCAAGAGTGAATTCTTTTTTTTTTTTTTTAATTTCTCGTCAATAGTCTTATAAACATTACAAGCATAGTTTTAACGAATATCTAAACATCTATTACAACAGAGATATAAAAAATATAGGTGAAAAAAGCTTTATGCTCATAATATAAAAGTTCTGATGTTGGGAGAAGTATTCACCGGAGAAACTGAGAAGAACTTCGAAATTGATAACTTCACCTTTTAAAAATTTAAACTTACCAGCCTAATTTAACAAAGAACGAATGTTAATTCAATGATCTCTGTATTGTACGTTGACGAATAAGTAAATAATATAGTTTCTCATAAACTCCATGTATCTGTTTAAATTAAGGAGGTTATTAAGTCGCATCTCTCAAAATTATTTTCCAAAATTCATTATTTTCTTTTTAACAGCAGTCTTATTTTATGTTATTTACTCATATATGGGATTATACCGTATGGGAAAGTAATGCGATCGCGACAAAAATTCGAATCCGAGTTTTCAACAGAAATACAGGTCTCATGGTCGCCAACATAAATAGATCTTGGAAAATGGTCTGTGAGTGTGTAAAAGTCTCCTCTTTTTTTTTTCTGATTGTTTAAAATAATTCTCGTTACAGACATGTTTCTAATATATCGAAATTTGATCAACTGAGAATATGTAAGTTGTGCTAATAAATCAAAATAAATTTAGCAAACATCTACAAGTGAAAACCAAGATTTTTATTTCTTAAACTTTTGGTAAGTAAAATATGTTAACTGTAATGTACATGGCTGTATTTGTTATTTGAAGTTAGATTTAATACCTTTAAAGTATTCAAAAAAGCCAAAACGTGGTAAAGGAAATGTGATGCGAAAATTTCAGATTTTACACACTTTCAAATGCTGAGTTTGTAAATAGTAATTAATAACTTGTTACAGTTCAGATTTATTTAAACAGCTTTATGTTGAAAAAAGTATTGTAAAATAAAGAAAAGATTTGATACTGATAGCCTCATTTTCTTTTTTTTAAACTTGACAATTGTTTTCTACAAAATACTTAATGCATTTCAAATTTGAGAATAAAAATCACATTGGGCAATTATCAATCCTTCAAAAAGTAAATTATAGCCCATAGATAGCAACATAACTTTTAGGATAAAGCAATTTATTCGTTTTCCCACTTATATTTAAAATCAACCATCCTTCAATTAGTAAAGCGGATTTTCATCATACGAATATCTTTTTTTCATAAAATTTAGGATACAAGAAATAATGTAATTCCCAAAAATATTTTATTATAAACATTGTTAAACTTCCCGAGTTAAATAATGTTAATTATATTTTGGTTTCCAGTAATATTAAAATAATATGTGAATTTTTTATTTATGTCTCAAGAATAAGTCTCGATTATAATTAAAACGTGTATACAGCAATTGATAATAAATATTTGACTTATCATAATTTTTATCTTATTTTTTTTTTCTTACAAACGATAAGTGTATTTATTCATTTATGCTTATTATAACACATCCCAGGGCGTGGAGAAAAAAAGAAATTAAAGCATTGCAATAATTTATTGTAGTTAATTTTGCTAAAAACACTGGTACTTTTAGGTGACATGGTATCAAATAACGTCATCTCAACTTAACTTATTGCTTACTGCATAGGAAAGTTTTTACAAAAAGTAGAGTATCTGGGGTATAGTTGGAAGGTGATTAAAAAATTCTCGAATAATTCATGATTTTTTTTAAAAACAGAACTTAGCTTAGTTTAGCCGCCCAAAAGTTCTCTGTAAATGGTTTTAATAATTACATACCAGTGAGGCGGTTGAGAGAGTAGCGCAGGGTTCTCCTCGCCTGATCGTAAATAGTTTATATAGGTATGCATCTGTTTGTTGCTTATTTTTAATTTTCTTATTTTTAGGTTATTTTATTTTATTTATTGTATATACTTTCTGATCATTATTTATTGTTATTTTTTTTCTAATTATTTTATAGTGTGAATGTTATCCTACCTTACTATAACTAGTGTCCATGTGACAGATAGTTGTAATATTCAATAAATAAAAAATAAAAAAAAATTTACAAACTCTACTTTCATTTTAAGTAAAGTATGTCTAGTTTACTGCGAAGCAATGGTTACTTTCTTAAATTAAATATTTTTTTAGTTGGCACTTCCTATACAAGAAAAAAACATGACTTACTTAAAAAACAAAACATAAAACTTAAGTTTTTTAATTTTTTAGAAAATCGGGCATACTAATGATAGATTTAATCACGTGTACTTTGTGTTCATATGTACTTTTTTGTAGTTCTCGAGGTTCACTCTCATCCCTTTGAATATTTCAAATATTTCCAGACCCAGTATATGGATTATCCTCACGAGACTTGTCAAATTCACACCTTTTCACTAAGGGATTATTTTTAAATTAATCTAATTATTATATTGCAGGCTCAATGTTTTCCTTGATTAAATCTATCATTAGTATGTATCGAATGGCAAAAACATTTACTTTTAAAATCTTCCATTTTCCATGTGACAGAATGTTATATTATTCAATAAAATAAATTTTAAAATTCAGAATTCTTAAATACATTATTATCCAATCTACCTGATCTACTCAAATATTCATTGGCAAACATTGCTAAAAATAAAATCCAAGTACATATATAAAGTAGTTTTTAAAAAACATTATTGTGATTTTCAAAATTTTTTTTAACATTTGCAAGGTATCGGCTCTATAAGATTTTCCTTCAAAGCACAACATTCAGAAAGTTTAAGATATTAGCTGATCGATCGCGATGAGGTAGTTGGTACGGCCCTATACAGGTCAGGAGAACTCTCCTCCAGTCACTTCCAGGCCCTTCCTCTTATTGCTGCTCCCAAGTTGGTAGTACTCAGTAGAGTAGCTAGAGCCGTACCATGTATATACTGTTCAATGCACATGTTAGCCGACTTCCACTATTTGTAAAATACTATTAAAAATGCACTATGCATGGTTAGTTTTAATAAATGTTCTGAATGAAGTTTATATATTTGTTTAACCTATTTTTTACAAGACATTTGTTATTCAATTATCAATATTGTACTCTTATCTTTATTTCGATGTACTTAAAAGTAATTATTTATATTAAAGAGCTAAAAATCACAGATAGAGGTAGATATATTTTGTTATTTATTTTAATCAAACAGTAAATAGATGGAACTTTCAAAAACTAGGTATAACATATGAAAATAGAAACTTATTCGTCGAAGTTCTCTTAAATAGCAATCAATTAATAATAATTGTCCAACAACAGAATATATAATATTCTCTTATACCGCATTTTATAATTTCAATTTTCATTTCGATAAATAACTTTACCTTTTGACTATCGCTTTTCCCTCCACAAGTGGGGGGACAAGTCTGGTTACGAGTTCCCATGGCCGATTGTAAATAGTGTAAATAGGTATGTCTGCGTCTAAGATGTTTATTTTTATCACTTTTTTTAAGAATATTTTATTTATTTATTTTAATTTTATTAGTAGTATTATTTTTATTTTCTTCCCTCATTATGATATTTTATTTTGTTCATATTTCGATGTATATTACTTTGAAATTACCTTATTTATTTTGTAAATATAGTGTGAATGTGCTCTCTGAACTCTATTATAAGCGTCCTTTATTGAGGTAGGTTGTAACATTTATCAATAAACAAGTAATCTAAAAAAAAAAATGTTGATTAGTTTTTGTTTTATAAGGAGAATTACAAATCATCGGGATTCCAACCCTTTATATGGTTTATTAAGGTTGGCGACGTTTTGAACAAAGCATGTGGGTCATCATGGCCAAAAATCAAAAATTAATTCAGAAAATTGAGATATAGTTTGAAGTATGTAAATAAGCCAAAATAAAAAATGGAAAATTCACAAGATATATAAACATGACAGTGTGTGAATAAAAAACATCAAATAAATAAGCAAATATATAAAAAGTTCAAATACATTAACTAAAACATCAATACAAATAGAAAAATTAAATAAATAAGAATTATGCATAAAACAAGCGGACTAAGAATAACTAAGGTAATTTTTTTAAATTATAAAAATAATTGAAATACAATAGGCAATGTAACGCATGCTTCTATCTATATCTCATTTTATCTGATGTATTTTTTTTAATTTTTAGCCCTCATGATGACTCATGCATAGGCGCAGACTTTTATCCTGGTTAGGGGGAGGGGTCACCTCCCCTCCCCCCACCAAAAAAAAAAAAAGAAGGAGGTTTATATTATGTATAAAAATTAATATAATTACCATAATTATTGTAAAACGAACTATATAATACTATATAAGAAAAATGTGTGTGTGTGTATATATATATATATATATATATATATATATATATATATATATATATATATATATATATATATATATATGTATATATATGAATGTATGTGTGTGTTTATACACTATTCAAGTTTTATTTTGCGTTTATGGGTATATTTGAAATTATGTCAACAAAGCAATTGAATATATTATGTATTTTTGTTTAAAAGCTGGAGGTTGTAAAATGAATTCATAATTCTCCGAAGGTTCAAATTTGCTGCGGGAAATGTGATAAAATCTTCAAGTTAAAATGGAAGGGTCCACATGAATGAATAATAATATCCTAGGATACGTTGCTGCATATAATTATCTTTAAATATTAACTAAAAGTTCAATATTAGGGACAAGGACGTGGTAAAATACTTGCGTACCTATTTATAGCCTTAGATAGAGAGCTTAGCTATCTAATCGACTTTACTTATTTCCTTAATTGATTTTAGTTTACATACTATTTCATTCATGTAGAACTGTTATAAATTTTTATTTTATTTTTTTTCTTCGAAATATTTGGGGGGGAGGGGCGAAACGATATTCTCGCCGCTTCTTCCTCCTCCCGAAGTCATCGCCTATCGCCTTGGTTAAAATGTCGGCAATCCTAATAAACCATAACAGTCAATTATATATCCATCTCTACATTTTTTTTTTTTATTTCATTTTCTTTAGGGCTTGAAATGAAATTTAAACTTTCATTTTCTACTAATTTCGGTATTACTGGAATCTTTATTTTCAAAATTTTTTGTTATCTCAGGACTTGAACCTTTTTCCTTGTAAACTTTAAGTAACGGTTCTACAGAACGTATGTTTTGAAAAAAACTTTAATTTAAAAGTTCTGTTGGTTTCGCCAAAACGTTTACCTAAAAATGATTTTTATTCTTAGCTACTCAAACAAACGACAGATTAGAATCAAGTAATTCATTTAATATAGATTTAAATTCTAATTTAAGCCCAGTTATTGTAAATTTCTATTTTAACCTAGTTTTTTTTAAGAACATAAATAAATAAAAGTTAAATTTTGACCATAAACCTAGAACTGTATTATAAGATTCTTTAGAACTTTTATCTTAACAAAATTTTTACCTTAAACGTTTGACAGAAATTATTGAAATGAAAAGTTTTTAAAAATAACATTGATTTTATTTTTCATATGAGCGTACTTTTTGTGAATTGTTTCTATAATTTTGATCACATTTAATTGCACTTGTTTCTATTACCCAGCATGATGTTAGTGATTGCTTGATTTTTTTTCTTTTCTTTTTTCGATAATCATCAACATCAACAATACCTAGATTATTTGGTTGTTTATTTAATTTTAATTTTTTAAAGTTTTATTTTAAATTATAGTTACACTAGTTCATTTATTCTATTATATCTTTCATATTTAATTGTAATTGATAATACTTGTTTTTATTTCATAGATAAAACTTCCTGTAGGCCATGGGAGGATTCCAGCAAAGGCCATGGACCCCAACCAAAAGAAGGGGCCCCATCGCCGCCGAATACACCAGCCCCGGACCTGCTTGTGTAACTCTTCCTAACCTCTTTGGTAAGCTTCAATATGGCGTAATTGGTTTTTTTTTCAGATAAAATAATTATCTATTAAGACTAATAAAAAGCTGAAGAAGCTATATAATGCAGCAGATATTATATCCACCATAAAAAGGGGAAGAAGAAGGTGGCTGGGTCAGGTGGCAAGAATGGAACAAAGTAGGCTCCCTAAAATAATGATGGAGGGATACCTCGGTGGTAGAAGAAAAAGAGGTAGACCTAAAATTCTTTGGCTGGATGACGTTGAGAACAATTTTCTAGCTGGGTCTTTTAGGATGAAGAGGGGCGGCTGAAGAAAGGCCGGTTGGAGGAGGATAGTTTAGGAGGCCTAAGCCCTGCTAAGACTATAGCGCCCGCCATCAGATGAAATGATGAAAATGTTTATTTTTTGAGGTTTTGGGCGACTCGCTAAAACAAGTTCTCATTCTTTAATTATTTTTTTTGAAGTACGTGTTTTTAAAATCCCACATACTTTAATTTGTTATTGTAAAATCAGATTAAATACTTTATTTAATGGTAAACAAGTAAAACTGAACTCAAAAATTGGATTACTTACTTCATATATACTCTTAATATCAGGTGCTAGTTAATAATAGAGTTCTTATTTTTATGCAATTGCATATTTTATTTACGTTCAGTTTTTTAACTGCTGGTCGAATAACTTGACAAATTAGCCTACTCATAGGCAATTAGTCAAATTTTAATGATAAAAACATATAATTGCACATTTTTATTATTTTAAATAAGCAAAAAAAATAGAAATACAAATTTTATATCCAATATTGTGAGCGAAATTCCAGATTATGATGGTAGCTTCAATTTGAATAAACAAAATAATGCTACCTTCAGAAGTAGACTTCTTAGAATTTGGATTTTCAGGTCATATAATTTCAATTTCTTTCTTTCATTAAAGCACTAATATTTATTATTATTTTAAATTCCAACAATACTTGCATTGTTTTCTTCAAAATTGAAATATCACCAACCGATATAAGATGACATTTATTTAAAATATTGATACTGACATTTCGGGAACTTCTCCCCAACTCCAGAATCTACCTTCTGTAATAATGAACATTATCCCATTAACATTGTTCATCTTCGTCGTAAACTTATGTCTTCCTGTCGTACAGTATCCTTTAATAACACCCCACTTATCCCTGTTGAACGAATCCGATACCTAGGACTCCACCTAGACAAAAGTCTCACTTGGAATCCTCATACAAGACTGAAACGACAAGTAACTGCTCAACGTTTCCGTTTACTCCAACTCTTACTAGACAAACGCTCTAAACTTCCAATTAATTACAAAAAACTAATATACATTACTATAATAAGGCCTATTTGGACTTACGGAGTTGAGCTATGGGGCTCCACTAAACTATCGAATTCCTCTCGTATCCAATCCTTACAATCCAAAATCCTTCGTAAATCCTCAATGCTCCTTACTTTCTCACAAATAAAATAATCCATAAAGACCTTAATGTTCCATATGTTTCCGATTTGGCCCAATCCAGATACCTATCCTTCTATAATAAGCTTCATAACCATCTGAATCCTCTAGTTTCAAACCTTGCTTCCTCTTCGATAACCCTCCGAGGCGTCTGAAAAGAAGAGTGCCGCGTGATCTCCTTATATAGACATATTATCAGAGTGCTACCAGCGGGTGGTTTCTCAACAAGTGTTTTCATGTGATTATATTCCTGTGTCCACATTTACTTGATGTATTTATGTTGTAAAGATCTTGAATAAATAGTTTTTAAAAAAACAAAACATTTTTTACAATGTTTTTGTATAAAAGAATTTAATATATTAATAATAATTATAAGTACCTTGTTTTCTATTACATTAAAGATGAATATCTTTAAGATCACTTAATTTATAATATTGTACATCTTTTTAAAAACTTCATAAAAGGCATATTAGCTAGACTGGACTGATCATATTCACTAGCGGGTTCAGGATTTAATTTTGGGGTAGGCTTCAGCCCGTAAGTTTTTTTTTCATATATATATATAACGACAATTAATTTGAAGAGAATAAAGAAAGAAACTAACTACCTATATGTCATAGCGTTTAAGTGATTCTTGAAGTCCTATTAAATGCAATTACACGAACAATAATACTTTAAGAGATAGTTTTTAATATTTTTTCTATATAATATGGTTATATTTTACAATTTTTTTGGGGGGGGGAGGCTTCAGCCCGAAAGCTCCTCCCCCTTTAGATCCGCCTGTGGTCATATTTAGTCCTGTTCCTAGAAGAAATGAATGGACTTTAACCCCAATATTATTTCTCTCCATTATCCTTTTACTACTTGTATTTGTTATCTACCACTTATTATGTTGGTTAACATCTATTGTTTTTTTTTATTTTATTTATTATTTCAGCATAATGTATATTTAAATTTTTTGTCTCAGTTTTATTCATATTTTACACTAGGTGGATTAATTCAATTAATCTTCTGTTTTTTTTTTGCTGGCTTCCTGTCCAGTAATTTTGGTTTTTCAAGATCAAATTTTGTTACTTAATGGTGTGCCTGTGCTATTTTCTAGGTATTTTTTAAATGTTTTTACAGTATGCTAAATAAAAAATTACCCAACATCTCTAATTGAATAACGATCAGTGGCAGATCCCTGGTTTGTTAAAAGGAGCATATTTCATCTCCCAAAATAATTGAGAAAAAAATCCGACTGTTAAAAGTTTGTCTACTAGTACCAGTACTCGTAAATAACTGAATACATTAAGATGGAATATGAAGGCAAAAATTTAGACACCAACTTATTGGACAAGTTGATCCACATCAACATCAGTCTTTGTAGATGCACCAATGAAATTAAATAATAATCTTGTCTATGCCTACGACAATCAATTTCATATAATTGGAGATGTGGGATAGTTAAATAATCTATTTAGTACAATATTTCTCATAGACAAGAAAATATTTCTCACAACTTCTGTGGTCACCATCATAGTTCATCTCAAAAAACTACCTTTTAATCAGCTCCTGATAGCAATAGGATACACTTTCCTTTTTCCGATTCCTTCAAGAATGTATAAAGTGGTAGTTCTTACAGCACTAAATAAATAATTTTTTGAAAGCCGGTTTAGTTAGTATAAGCCTGTCTGAGTGTATTGAAATTCAGTGTTAATTTAAAATTTAATAAAGTTAATTTAACTTTCAATACACCCAATCATAATCTTATTCCATAAATTCCTTCTTCCAACCTTCATTTTGAGAATTTGCTTTCCAAATTAAATATAAATAAAAACACTGGGAAATAATGTTGAGGCACCAGTGTCAAATAGTTCTTATATTTCATAGTTAACTAATTTTTGAAAAAAAAAATTAATAATCGTTTTAAAACAGAATCTTTGCTGTAACCTCTAGAATTTTCTTTGTGTCTCAGAGGTTTTTTTTAAATACATTACTTCTATAAAAAAATAAAAAAAAAAGAAAAAGAAATATATGTTTATATAATAGATAGTATAATATATATTAGTATAAATATTCTGATTTTCTTTTGATCATTATATACATATTAAATATTTGTAACTTTGGAACATTAGCTACTAACTGATAGTAAACAAAAATAATTTTTATTTCCCCATTTGGTAACCATAAATAACCAAAAACTACAATATTTTATGCTAATACTTGATTAATTAAGTTTATAAATTAACCCATTAAATCTTAACTAATGCTATGCGTTTACTTTAGCTATTTCCTATTATGATTGCTGAAATGAAACAGTTTTTGGATATAATTATCTTAATTTTAGGAAATGAAATATTGTCTACATATAAAAATTGCAAATATACCTACTTCCGTGTGATATCCTTTACCAAAAAATATATATTAGTTAAAATAATAATTTTCCTGAAAAAAAAGAGTTGTTTTCTATCTTTATTTTATAAAAAATAAAATAAAATAAATGAATAAATATTTTACTAATAAATAAATACTGCAACAATATAAAAAAAAAAAAAAAAAAAAAAAGAAAAGAAAAGTTTCATATGAGATTGGCCATAATTTTAAATATGTAATACACAGTGGGGCAGACCCTCCAACCTTGCACTCCCCTACCGTGTATATCCCTATAAATTGCATATCTTTGTGTTCCTTGTAACTATTTATTAGAAAAAAAGCCAATGTTCTCACAAAAAAGAGGGAATCAACTGCCCCAAAACGGTGTCCAAACTTGGCCGACTGACGACTTTGACTTTAGTTAGTTTTTTTATCCCTGAAAATTAGCAATTGCCTTAATTTCGTCATAGTTGGTCTCTTGTTAAAGCTGGATTGTCAGAGAATAATAAAACATGAAAAAATATTTAAAAATAATTGGCTTAGGCAATAAAAAACACCAGTAAAGTCAATTATTTTAGCAACAAAATTTTCAAATTGAAAATCAAGCGTCGTTTGTAATTAAACAGCCTACAATAACGCAAAACGTACAGATATAAAGCATCTGGAGAATATATTTCTCTTCCAAAAAAACTGATTACTTTTTAAAATATTTGAAGCAGTTCCGTACAAAATGCACTTGAGCCGCAGAAAAGCGGTACTGTGGTGCCTTCAGGCCTCTCTCTACCACACCGGTTCAGTACTCATAAATGGCTTAGTTATAGTGGTATAATAACGTTTTTGGTGCATTATATTGATTATATTAACGAATGAATATTAATGCAATAATTTAATTGTCAAAAGAAATTAAACAATTTTTTTAAAATTTATTATTTTATTTTATTTTTTAAATTTAATTTCCTTTATTCTGTACGGAGGTCGATTAAGAAGGCCTCTATTGTAATAATAATATAATTATAATAATAAAATTTGATTCAAAAATACTTTGCTGGATATCTTGAATTTTTTATTTAACGTTTGCGATTTAACAATTTGTTCTATATATTTAATGATACTTAGAGGTAATTTAAATTGTATAAACTAAAATAATATATACCTAATCTGAACTTCATATAATGAATATTTGATGGGTTGTTTAGTAAAACTCATATATCACTAATAAAAAAATTAATTTTCATAACATTCTATTAAAGGAATGCTATTAACAAATTTACCACAAAGCTATGACATAAGAACGAATGAGTTTGAGATTGGAATATCTTTTATGATGTCAATTAAATCTTTAATGCACTTGTTGCTTTGGAGTTAGTCATGTTTCTAATTTTTGTATCTATTTTTTTCGCTAATTTAAAGCAGGGGCTACCGCAGATAGATATAATTGGTCGGATGGGGCACCCTTCTTTATGAATGTTTGGTAGGCCATAGAGGAGTGGTATGTTAGGGTTCATAACCATTATCGATTGTTTTTCAAAATCGTCTTTGAAAAACGTACCACACTCTTTAATGTTTTTTTTTTTTCAAAAGAGTGTTTATTTTTTATGTTGGTATAGTATGCCCATAGCTAGTAGGTCTTATATCCTTATTTGCATACATCCTCTTAATAGCCTCCCTACAAAATGCTTTATTTTGATGTGATAGCTCCACACATTCTTTAGTTAGCTTGTCTTTAGTTAATGTATTGTTGGGGCGAAATTTCAGATCTTTACTCAATAACTTCATTTCTTTATCATTAAGCTGAAGATCAGTTTTGTTAATTACTCTTGAATAGAAATAATGTTGATAATTATAAATTTTGTGTTCAAAGTGATTCTTCTTTACTTTTTCTTTTTCTAAATTTTCTAGTTTCTTTTTCAATTTAAATTGTTTTATATCCATTAGATTCCTCGCCCAATTTCTAACATAGTAGTCATAACTGTCAAACTCAATAGAATGCAATTTGGATTTTAACATAATATGAATGTTATACAAATAGTGGCAAACTGATGATCTCACATAATAAAGGTTTTTAATTTTCTTTTTGAGAGTAAAAATATGTATGTTAACTTGTTCATTACTGGTTAGAGTACACCTAATGAACATATTTTTAATGTAATTGGGTATTATTTTCTTTTTTAAACAAAATTTGCTAACCCAAATGTTTTTGTTAAGTTTACAATACATAAGTCTAAGTTTACAATACATAAGTCTAAGTTTACAATACATTTTTTTAAGTTCATGCATATTTCCACAGTTATTAATATAATTGAGATTGTCGTTGTTAATATTGAAAAAAATCATAAAGAACAAAAAATAACATAACAATATAGCCAATTGCTGACACACAGTAATAATTCTTTAATTGTGGCTTGATGTTATTGATTCATTCTATTCTATTCTATTCTATTTTTTTTAAATAAGTTGTTATTTATGAGTGAACTTTACTTAATAGTATTTTAATCATATTTCAGGTTCTATTACAAATGATTCAAAAAAAGGAAGAGCTCCTGCATTTAGTTTTGGTAGTAGGTAAGTAATCCAGAAATTATATCGATATTTCTTTATCTAACATTTTAAATTTCTATCAAATTGTTCAAACTTTGTTACACATAAATATAATAATAATTGAGTATTTTTTATGATGACTAATACATATCACTATTTATATGGAACTGCTACTTTTAAAATTTTTATATTAAATTATATTGTTGTAAATGTATATTAGACTTGATGGCTGAGCTTATTGGAAAGATAATCCCAGAGCACCAATTCTGAATATTTAGGCTCAATTCCCAACTGGGTCAGTTAATATTTATTCTTATTAAACTGCTTCTACCTCTAAGTAACCATCAGAAGCTGGTAAAAAGGATCACATATCTTACTTACCATACTAGTCCTACCCATCAGTACCAGTATATATGTATATATTTATTCTTATCAATTCATGAAAAATAAGTGTTCAAACACTTGCGAAAATAGGTTTATTTATATCTTTTAACATAATGATTTTCGATCCAAGAGGATGTGTTCCTCTCTACTCTATCTCTCCATTTCAGTCAACCCATTCTTTACATTGCCTATTATCATTAGCAATCATGATTTCTTTTCTAAATTTAACTAATTTCCATCTTCCAATCATTATGGAATCTCCTCCAATAATTCATTTCTGTGAGTTGATTCATCATTGACTCATTGCTTTAGATTTACAGATCCCAAATCTAATCAAAAGGAAAATTTGTAATAATAAATACTTTATCAAAATTAATAAAACTAAAATATTGATGTATTAATGATTCATAAATATATTTTACATTACTATTTGCTTTTGTTCAACAAAAGATATTCATTTTTTCTTTTCTGTAATATAACAAGATTATAAATATCGCAAATAAAGCTATTATTCTGAAGCTTCACTGTTATACAAGAATACGATTCGATATAAAATGTTTAATTATCATATTTTTTTTACGAAATTCATGATATCCTGCTGAAAATATTTATTTTTTCCTATAATTTTAAAATTTTGGTTCTTTATAGTAACTAGATTGAATGATTTGAAGAACCATTGTTTTGTAAAACAAATTTTGAATATTATTATTCCAAATTTTAATTGTGTTTTTTAGACATGGAGGAAAGAATGATAGTATTGGCCCTGGACCAGGACAGTACAATGTTACAGGACTAAGTGCTAAAGGTATGTTGTTTTTTAAGTTGCATTGGCTTTACAATTAAAATAAATTAAGTATGGAAATTAATAGATTTTTAAATTCATTTATTTTTATGTTTTATTTTTCTATATTAATGCTATCTATATTCCTGTGCTACCCTACCCAATTACTTTTTTAATTGTTAATAAAAATAAATGTTTTACACTTTAAAAAATTATATTTTCATTACTGTATGAAAATATACTTTTTTAATTGTAATTTAATTAAACTGTTGTTATAATGTGTTTTCTTCATTAGGAGAAATAATAATGGTATGCATTCATTCATTTGACCAACTAAATTCTATTATAGAAAAATAAAAGTTATAACATATTATTGTTCAAAATTTTATTAATACAAGCATTAATATATCTCTTCAAAAAAATGTGAAACAAAGGACTGATTTAACTGTCAGAACTTAAAAAACTTACATCTAGGCCAGTACAATGAATTAATGTTATAATTGTTAAAATTATATAATTTGTATTCTTCTTCTTTTCTGATTTTTATTCTACTCACTCAACTTTTTTGATAGCTTGCCTAAATTTTTCTAGGCTATGTAATGAAAAATTTTTCATTTGTTCCAGCCCTATAAATTCTTAGCTGGAAGTCTAACAATCTAATTATCACAAGAAATATATTAATTGAAGTCTGATATTCAACTGAGCACTCTTCTAAAACTTGATTCTGAATTTCACTGTTCTATATCAACATTAAACTGGGAACGACCCTGTATATCATCTTACCCTCAACTATTTTTTAAGGCATCATCCACCCAAACATCTTTCACAAGAAATTCGTCCCTTTCTTTCTTTTTTTTTATTATTATTCATCAATAGATTAACGGTTATTAAATGCCAAAGTACAGCAATCTTGAAATTCATAACAAATTATATGTATTTCAGGTAAAGATTGTCCACCTTCTGCTACCCTCCATTCACGAGGAAAAGAAGCTAAGCCGGAAGCCACCCCAGCTCCTGGTGATTACAACCCTGAACGAAGCGGAAAAGTTATTCATGATAATTCCCCAAAGTATACATTTGGTCTCAAAACCCAGGTGGAGAAACCAAGCCAGACTCCAGGTTAAAAATTCTGACATTTTTATTTATGTTAATATTTCGCATTCAGACCTTTACATATTAAACATAATTATAAACAATAAATTTATATCTATATTTTTGATCTATAAACAGGTATTTATTAAATATATTTATTTTATTTTGAAATTTCACCAAAATATAAACTGAAGTGAAGACATGATAATTATCATAATTTTAAATATTTTGTATCTATTCAGTGATTCTTTCTATTGAAAACATAAGGAGAAAACTAGTAATTTAAAAAAATAAATAAGTAAATAAAAACACCTTTTACTGTCTTAAATTAAATATATACCATTCAAAAGATTGTTTTACAGGGCGTTTTTTATGTTATATAACATCTTTATTTCAATAAGAGCTGGAAGGTTGTGTGATGTAAATATTATTCTTGCAGGAAGGTCAAAATTTATTCTGTCTTAAAGGCCTGAATTAATCTAATATTCCTCTTTTTCTGTGTGTATAGTTGTTTTGCATTTTTTTTTTTCATTATTTTATTGTTAGAAAATAGTTATTTAGGTGGCTTATGAGTATTGTTTTATATATAATTATTGTTTATATATAATTATTATTATACTCATATATAATTATTGTTTTAATAATAATCATTATTATTCTCTGAACATATTTCAACTTGAGCCATGAATCCCCTAAAGCAGAATAAGTTTAAGAACCACTTTGACAGTATTTTAAATATGGGAAATTATGATCTGTGTCATCCTTCTGAGTACCAGAGTGCTGAACCGTTAATAGAAGGACCAAGTAAATAGGAGTTGAAGTAGCTATCGGAAAATTAAAATCTTATAAAGCAGCAGGAACCGATAATATTCCTACTGAACTAATTAAGGCATGCGGGGAAGCTGGAGTTTCTAAAATACATCGGTTGGTTAAAAAGATCTGGGTGAATGAGAAATTACCTGAGGAATGGAAAGAATCTATTCTTATTCCGATTCACAAAAAGGGCCCGAGGACGGATTGTAATAACTATCGAGGAATTTCACTCCTTCCAGTATGTTATAAAATATTCACTTTAATCTTAACCGGTCGAATCACGGAATACGCCGAGGAAATTATCGGAGACTACCAATGCGGATTTAGACGGAATCGTTCAACTATTGATCAAATATTTTCTTTACGGCAAATATTAGAGAAAAAATTGCTAAAAAGGCTTACGATTCTATTGACCGCCAGAACCTGTATAATATTCTAATCGAGCAGAGGATTCCAAAAAAACTAGTAAATCTAGTCAGGATGTGCTTGACGGGGACACTCAATAAAGTTAGAATCGGTAATAATCTGTCGGAAAAATTTGAGGTTCGCTCGGGTTTAAAACAGGGGGATTCCTTTTCGCCTGTACTGTTCAATTTGGCATTAGAACATGCCATTAGGGAGGTAATGTGTACCGAGAAAGGGTTGGATCTGGGTGGGACAACATCCGTGCTGGGCTATGTACTGTTAAGCAAAGACGTTGAAACTATAAAACTAAATACAACAACGTTAATGAAAGCCGGTAAAAAACTAGGACTCGAAATAAACGTGGATAAAACAAAATATATGGTTAGCTGCAAAAATGGCGATACTACTGGTGATATCTATAACATATAGGTGGTAATATGTTTGAACAGGTAGATAAATTTAGGTATCTAGGTTCTACGATAACCAGAAAAAACGAAATTGAAGAATAGATTAAGGTTAGACTGAAGGCGGGAAATGCTCGTTATTTTTCTGTGACAAAACTACTCAGTTCGCGCCTCTTGTCCCGGAACTTAAAAATTAGAATCTATAAAACAATTATCTTGCCTACAGTTCTTTATGGATGCGAAACTTGGCCGCTTACTTTAAGGGATGAGCAGCGTCTTATGGTTTTTGAAAATAAAGTATTGCGTAGAATATTCGGACGGAAGAAGGATGAGTTAACCGGAGAGTTCAGACGGTTACACAACGCCGAATTGCATGAACTGTATCCGGGTAATATAATTGAGGTAATTTCATCGCGGCGAATCAAATGGGCTTGTAAAGTTTTTGGGCTTAGTAACGAGAGAATTCCTAAAAGATTAATATTTGCTGTGCCGAATGGTAAGCGTCCGAGGGGTAGAGCGAAGCGGAGGTGGGAAGATTGCATTAAAGCCGATCTGAAGGGACTGGGTTTGGACGGCGAACGGTGGAGGGAGGTGTGTAATAAGCGATTGGTGGTGTTGGCATCGAACCTTCAGGTTCGCTAAGCCTTTTATTATTATTATTATTCTCTGAACATATTTCATAGTTTAATTGAAGAATACTTTTATTACTTTCAATAAATAATAAAAGTTATATTCCAGTAGTGTTCTAAAGTACCTACTTGTATTGAAAACTGTAAGTCCAATATATTTAACAGGACAAACTTTGATACACAATGAAATATTTTAATTGAAAAATTTAATTTTCATAATAATTTTAATTACAGAGTTGAGCTATGGAGCTCCACTAAACTATCAAATTCCTCTCGTATCCAATCCTTACAATCTGAAATCCTTTGTAAATCCTCAATGCCCCCTACTTGGTCACAAATAAAATCATCCATAAAGACCTTAATGTACTATATGTTTCCGATTTAGCTCAATCCAGATACCTATCCTTCCATGATAAACTTCCGAACCATACAAACCCTCTTGTTTCCAACCTTGCTTCCTCTTCTATTCCTGATAACCCTCCGAGGCGTCTGAATAGAAGATGGCCTCGGGACCTTATAATATAGAAATATAATTGGAGTACTACCAATGGGAAGTTTCTCTTCATGTTGTACATGTCATGTTATTTGTTGTCATTTAATACAGTTGTAATTTTCAATAATAAAAATTAAAAAAACAAACAAAAAAACACATTAAATGTGCTAAGATTAGAAAAATTCTCAACACACACAACTTGTTCAGTTTATTGATTAAAAATGTATGATAATATAAATTAGGCTTCATGTGATTTTAATTATTGTATTTTGTTCCAATAAGCAGTTTTTTCTTGCAACAATATATATACATATATACTGTTTAATTTACCAATATTAAATTTACATTTTGTGCTGGAATATGAAATTTAAATGGCTCCTGAAATTTATGATTGTTTACAATAATAACTAACCATTTATTATACTATGTATTTGTATATTGTACTCTCTATGTCAGGTCCAAATACATACAGCATTCAAGGAGGGCTTGGTGCAGATACTCCCTCCTTCACTATCTCTGGCAGAACCAAAGAGGTGGTTGAGTCAACAGGCCCTGGTACCCAACCAACTCTTTTTATTTGTTGAATAACTCAGCTACTTACCTAACCTATCAACCATTGCTTAATTTTATTATAATATTCAATAGCCTCTTATAGTAATGAAACTGGATTTCTATTCAGTTTTAAACAATTGAATACATCACTTTTCAAAACTCTCGAGAAGCAGAAACTTTTTTTCAGTCAGAAATAAGAATTTTATCTTCCATCAATTTATTATTTTGAAAATATAAATAAAAGTGGATTCAGTTCCATAGCACCCTAAAATATCTTCCTTTTTCAGAATTTATTTATTTTATTTATTTTTATTCATTAGGTGAAAACTATGTCTTATCTTAAAACGATCTTGGTTGTTTAAATAATATTCCAATTACCAGAAAATATTTTGTTATAGATATAATTTTATTTAAACCTGCTTTCTAACATGTATTTCTAATATGCTTTTTCTCTTGATAACCCTGTTAAAATTAATTAATATGCCTACTGTTGATATTTTTCTTTATATTATTGATGTTCAAATATTTTGTGCCAATTTTTAGTGATTTGTTCATTACTTTGAAGTAATTTCAATTTAAAAAATGCAAGAATAAGTGTCCAACATTAATTAGTAATTAGAATACAAATTATTGTATATTCCACCTATTGTTTCCTATATTTAAATATACATTGATGGCTTGTAGCTCTTACTTATCATTATTTGGATGAAATATTAAATGATCATTGTTCATAATTTTTTGCTATTATATATATATACATATATATATATATAATATGTATATATATATATATATATATATATATATATATATATATATATATATATATATATATATATATATGTATATATATATTTGTATAAGACTAAGGATTGAAGAAAACTCAAAATGATTGGAAGAAATATAGGAAAATTCTGCTCCATTTATTATAATAAAACAAGTTAATTCTATTTTTTTCTGATTTCTTATTATTATTTATTACAGCCATAACATCAATGATCCAAGTTCAAAATATAAAACATAACTTATTGCATTTTGAATGTAGCAAATTTTACTGTTTTAGGGCCCAATGTGTATAAGATTCCTGGAGTTGTTGGTGGTCATGGCCCAGCTTATAGTTTAAGTGGTCGAACAAAAGAACCAACTGATGACCGCCTTCTCACACCAGGTCCAGGTAGCTACAATTCTAGTACTGAACTCATTCTGCCTAAATCGCCGGCTTATTCTGTTGCTCCTAGAATCCAACCACCTACTAGCAACCTTATTAAACCAGGTCCTGGATCATATTCTCCAGAAAAGGTAAAATTTTGCAATTTTTTAACTAAAACTTCAATTATATGTCAAAATTATATGTTTCTCAAACAACTTGGAATAGTTGTGTTAATTAATGGATTTAAAATATTGACAATAAACAGTGTATTTCTATTAATTTTGTTTTGTTTTGACAAAGCAAGGATCTTTTCTGAGATCTGAATAACATATTGAATCTGTAAATAACATATGATAAACTGAGAAAAATATTTTATAATCAAATTTTAATTTTGTTATTCTTTAGTATAATGTATAGTATTTTATTAAAACATAAGATCATAATAATAATTGTAATGATTGGTATGTTACATTTTTCAATTTAGGTAGTGTTGAATAAATTGTTTGCTCCCAGTTATACGTTTGGGATCAAGCATTCAAATTACATGGGTTTCATGCAATTAGACGAGTCTTACAAAAAAGGACGGAACATATTTCAATTCCTAAGTTGGTGATATTTTAATTCTAAGAGGCACTATTTAGCACCTATTTCTTTAAAAAAATTCAGCACAGTTTTCTTTTTGTTCTTCGCATTAAAAAACAAATCAAAAACAAACAGTAGAATTTTTTATTATAAAGTAATTTAAATTTCATCTAAGCAATCTTATTATTATTAAAGTTTTTCAATTGTAAGAACTTCTTTGATTATTGATGAACTCAACTCTTAAAAAAATAGAATTGTTTTATAAAAGTAAACACAAATTATTTTTAGAAGTAGATACTCAGAATTGTTTGTTAATTTTTTTTTTTAAATTTAGATATTGATACTTAGAATAAATTAGTGTGATAAGAATTTATAATATCATATAGCTTGTTTATAACATACTAATGTTTAGATATTTTTAATATAAAACTGAATTATTTATAGATACGAATTGATGCTCCTCCATCTGTTTCATTTGGAATCAAACATTCTCCATATCTTGGCAACCTGAAAACAATTATGAAGTGAATCTAATCAACCTCGATCTGCAGTCTAACCACAGCAGCAGGATACATTTTGCGCTATTTAACAACTTTAAAGCTTCTTTAAATTGAATTTCAGGATTTTGAGAACTTATAAACATCCAAAATTATATTTACTATTAACATTCCTAAAGTGATATTAATTCTTTTTAAATAAATTAAGATATTTCATGAAAAAAATATGTAGTATTTTATTTAATGATAATCCTTATGTTTTATTAAGAATAATGTTATAATAATGAAGTTTTACAAAATATTTTATTTCTTTTTTTCACTATTCGGGTGTAAGATTGTTTCATCACAAATTCAACTCTACATAATAATAAGGCTTAGTGAACCTGAAGGTGCGATACCGAGACCATCAATCGTTTCCTACATTCTTCCATCAACCGAATGCCGTCCTAATCCAACTCCGCCAGATCAGCCTAAACGGAATCCTCTCACCATCACTTTGGTCTGCCCCTCAGACACTTACTAATCGACACAGCTAATATTCACTTTTAAGGATTCTTTCGTTACGAAGTCCAGCCATTTCACATGCCCATTTCATTCACTGTAACCTAATCATTTACTAACCGGGTACAGTGTGCGCGATTCGGTGTTGTTTAATCATTTAAATTCCCCAGTTGCCTCATTCTATGTAATAATTTATTTTAAAAAACTTTAAGAGGTTGCTCATCCTGCTATGAATATAAGCGGACACGTTTCACATCCATAAAGAATAGAAGGCAGAATAATTGTTCTGTAAATTCTAATTATTAAGTGTCAGGGCAATATGCGCAAGCTAAATAGTTTTGCAACATTTGCAAGAATAGCAAGCATTTTCCACCTTCAACCTAGGCTTAACTTGCTTTTCAATTTTTGTTTTTTCTTGTTATCGTAGACCCTAAATTCCTCAATTAGTCTAAGTTTTCAAAAATATTCCTCTGTATGGTATACATTACAGACAATACCAAAATTATCGCCATGTACGCATTTATTTCGAGCCCCAGTTTTTTACTGACTTTTATCAATGTTGTATTTAGTATATTATTTCCGTACCTTCGCTTAACAACACCAAATCATCAGCATACCACCAAGCACGGATATTGTTCCACCCAGATTCAAACTTTTTTTGGCATGTATCACCGCTCTAATGTCATATTCCAAAGTCAAATTAATTAGAGCAGGTGAAAGAGAATCGCCTTAGTTTAAAGCTGAATAAAAATCAATTTTTTTTTTGATAAATAATAATCGATTCTATCTTTATTGAATTTTAAGGTCATTCACATCGCAACTAGATTTATTTATTTTTGTTTTTTGGATTCCCTGCCGAATTTGAATATAAAAAAGTTTCTGGCGGTCAATGCAATCATAAGACTTTTTGGATTCAATATAAAGTTGGTGAAGAACACCGTTGCATTAAATTTTTTTCTCTAATATTTAGGGTAAGAAAAATATTTGATCGAATCGTTGAAAGGTTCCGTTTAAATCCGTATTGATAGTCTCCGATAATTTCCTCGGGATATTTTCTGATTCGACTAGTTCAGATTAATGTGAATATTTGATAACAAACCGGTGGGAGTGAAATTTTTGATAATCATTACTAGAACCTGGATCTGAAGATCTAAATTTACCAAGAAATAGAACGTAAAAGTAAACTTTTAGATCTAAAAAGATCTTAAACCATTTATTTTTATATAGTTTACAAAAGTATTTGTAGATTTTAAACATGAAAAACTTAAATGAACATGGCAAAACTGAGATTGGTATAGATCTTTTGAGTTATTTTCTCCTTAAACAGAAAAATAAAGATAAATCCTGAAAATCTGGATTCTACTTATCATAATCTGTCCTCAGACCATTTTATGAATCGGAATAAGTATAGATTCTTTCCATTCTCCAGGCAATGTCTTACTCTCCCAGATCTTTTTAACCAACAAATGGATTTTAGAAATTCCAGCTTTCCAGCATGCCTTAATTAATTCACTAGGAATATTATCAGTACCCGCTACTTTATAAGACTTTAATTTTCCAGTAGCTATTTTAACTTCCTCTTTAATAGGTTCTTCTATTAACGGTCCGGCACTCTGTTACTCAAAGAGATAACATAGATCATTATTTCCCGTACTTAAAATATTTGTAAAGTGTTTCTTAAACTGACTTAAAATGTCTACCGGTCAGTATGTTCTTATTTGTATTCCTTATTCCAGTCGTCACGGATCCGAAATATTTACGTGTTTTACTTTCACCTTGTGGTGGCCTATTGCTGCCTGTCATCAAACCTACAGTGGGCAACTAGTCATCTGCCTCCACACACCTGAAGTGATTGAGCTGAATGAAGAACATTACCAGGCCCGATGTGATTCAACAGGATGAAATATATTACTTTTTATTTATAAAGTTTAATGGCGATAAGGTATACTGATGAAAGCTTAAAAATAACTCTAACTGGAATGGCTCTTGATTTAATCATGACGTAATGATTACCGCAGCCCTCCGAGGTAACAGACAGATCATCAGGTCACACATTCCTCGAGATGTTGACCTTCCCAGCGGTTTGATCAGTATATTCTATATACGCTTTTTGGTTCTATATCAAACTGCTTTTCTTTCACTATGCTCCTTTAACCTTTTTTCCTATTTTCTCTCCATACAAGGTCTGGATGTTCATCTGTCCGTTTGTACTCCAATATACTAAGTCATGAGATTCATCCCTCCATTAGCATTTCATCCTCCCAAAAAATTAATTCATCCTTCCACTTGTCTGCGGACTGTTAAGGGTCATCCCTTACTCCGCACACGAAGAGTGGTTTGTGTGCTCATTCGCCTGACACTTGAGGTCGTCCTGTCTAAGCCTCTCTCTTCATCCACTAAGTCATATAACCCATATTTGAGCATATTCTGTCGAGGCCTTCTGATCACTGTACGAACTATACAATAAATCCACAACCTTTATGCAAATTAAATAGCTATAATTATTATTGAGTGCTGCGTATGCGTTAGCCCTAGTTAAACATGCCTCAGGTCGTCTCGAGGGTACTCACTCCCAGAGAACCCAAACCCCCACCAATATTTGTTAGAAATATTAAAAATTTTCAATTGATGTGCCATCAATTGAATAATCTAGTAGGTTCAGGAAAATATTTATACAAAGGCCGCACCAATGACACTAAATTAATGCCCGACACTCCTGAAACTTATAGAAAAATTATAAAATATTTATCTGACACCAAGGCTGATTACCACACGTATCAACTGTGTCAAGAGAGAGCGCTCAGGGTTGTTATGAGACGACTGCACCTGATGAACATATTCAAGGAGGATAGAGAACACCCTGGAATAAAAAATAAAATACCTCTTCCACTATTCTTCGTTGACCATGACCGAACACCCGATGTCGAAAACATCTACAAGGTCACACGCCTTTATTATACATGCGTTGTTGTAGAAAAGCCCTACAGCAAGCGCGACATCGTTCAATGCCATAACTGCCAGGCTTATGGCCATACGAAACGGTATTGTCATCACATTCCTAGATGTGTGAGGTGTGGTGAGCAACACAAAACAGAGGACTGTAGGAAGTCTAGAACATCACCTGCAGTATGCGCTTTATGCCACCAAGGACACCCAGCGAACTACAAGAGTTGTCAAACATACAAAGATTTAAAAACACGAATGTACGCAACGCCTAGAGAAGAAGGGACATCCAGGCCACCAAGACAACCCTCTAGAACAGTGAACGGAAGAGTGTCCTATGCTCAGATGTTCAAAGGACACAGTAAACACTCAATCTCAGGCCCTGCCACAAGAACCTAAACCTCAAGAATTCACACATCAACCTCAAGACCCATATTCCTCCATCCCTGAACGTAGGTCAAATACCCATACATTCATTCCTCCTCCTTCCAATTCCACTGACCTCACAAGCCTACTGACATCTTTCCTTTCCGAATTTAGATCTCTCATTACCCCTCTTATTTCGCTACTTACCAATGTTATATCCAACCTCATTCCATTGCCAAGAAATCCATAAATGTCCTCAACCATATTCCTCTACATTCTCCTTTGGAATGCAAATGGTATTCGGAACCACATCAACGAACTGACAATCTTATTACATGACAAAAACATCGACATAGCACTAATAACTGAAACTCGACTAACCAAAAAACGACAAATCAACGTTCCCGGCTACAATATTTATCGAACTGACCATCCTGATGGAACAGCACATGGTGGCACTGCCATAATTATCCATCGATCCGTTTCCCATCATTTGTTTCCCTTATCAAGCCATGATTTCCTACAATCTACAGCCGTAATAATCCAAACACCCCTTTACCTAATAACTCTAGTTGCGACATATTCCCCGCCTAAAACACCCATTTCCGAATCCCAAATAATTTCCTCCCTGAATTCCTTAGGACACCACTTCCTCCTAGGTGCAGATCTAAATGCAAAACACCAGCAATGGGGAGCCAGATCCACAAATTCCCGAGGGCGAACATTGCTATCTGCACTTAATTCCCATCGCAGCAACATCCTTTCACCTAATACTCCCACATACTGGCCAACAGATCCCAACCGCAATCCCGACCTTCTAGACTTTTTCCTACACAAAGGTCTAGGATCACTACACTGTTCCATTTCAAGGTTTGATGATCTTTCCTCAGACCATAGTCCTCTAGTCCTAACCGTTTCCACATCTCCCATTCCCAAATCATCCCCACCTTCATTTATCAGGGGGCCAGTTAACTGGAACCTTTTCCGTCAAATACTGAAAGATAATATAGACCTCAGAGTTACCTTAAAAACACCTGGAGACCTCGACGATGCAGTGCATTCCTTCACTACCCTGATCCAGCAAGCAGCTTGGACTGCATCCTCACCTGATCGTCCCAAAAAATACCATAACATAAATCCTTTACCTCAAGACCTACTGGACCTCATCCATAGCAAGCGTTGCTCTAGGACACTTTGGCAAAGAACCAGGCATCCTGATGACCGGAAATCGTATAATTATTATTCCAAACAGGTAAAAACGAAACTGGATACCTTTAGAACCCAATCCTACAATTCCTACCTCTCCTCATTATCCGCTAGTAATAACTTCCTCTGGAATGTAACCAAAAAAATCCTTAAATTCCAGTCAATTTCCCATCCACTTCGCCGTGATGATGGTTCCTGGGCTTCGTCAGTT